GCAACACAATACTCAGACAGATGTATTTCTAGAATTTTATCAAATATAACTTCATGTGTATCTTAATTCCTGCTCAAAGAGAGCAGTCACAGAACTATAGAATTATGGAATGATTTGGGTTGGGAGGGATCTTAAAGCTCATTTAGTTCCATCCCCCTGCCATGGACAGGGATGCCACCCACTACATCAGGTTGCTCAGGGCCCCATCCATATTTTATAGTTCCAACCTCAATTTAGGGCAGAAACTTGCTATTTATCTCACTGCAGCCTTGCTCCTCAGTGTTGGTCAGTGAAATGGATTGATTTTGTTCAGCATTTTTTCAGAAAAATTCAAATTCTGACTAAAAGGACAAAGCCCTTCAGTGATCACTGCTAAGCCCCAAAGAGTAAATACCAAATTGCTCTATTTTAAGCTAAAAAAAGTCAGTGTCTAAAACCTTGTGAGGATCTAGCTGAAAAAACCTGTGCTGAGCATTAGCAAATTGCAAAGATTAAAGTTTCAAATCTCAACTTAATCTTTCAAAGCAGCCAAAAAATATTTTTAATTTGAGTGGACACAGTCACTTCAGTGTCTGCTTTTTTGTAGCTGCAGAAGCTCATACCTGACCACCTGGGTGGGATCATGCAGGTATTTGCTGCTTGCAAAAGGAATTTTTAAAAAAGAAAATTGACAAATCAATAATTTGCTGGTGAATTTCTGTTTACTGGGTGTTATCAAAGCCATCACCCTTCCTCATGGTGCTACAACTCTTGGGGTTTTTTTTCACGTTGATTCAAGTTATTAATTGTCAAGCTCAGCAACAAAAGCCACAGAAGAGACTTGTCCAAGTGCTGTGTTTTCAACACTGACATCCATCACACACTGAAATGAAAACACAGACCAAGTGTGTTGTCCTCAGCTTGCCTTCTCTCCAAAGACAAATGTTTTAACAGCAGTTAAATCAGTCTGGTGCAGCACAGTAGGAAATCAGTGTTGTAGGTCGGTTTTAACGTTTCCATGTTCACTTTACAGCATGTTTGGTGCTATAATAAACTCCCCAGGTGTCACTGTGTGCTAACAATGCCTGTGGCCCCCCTGATCCTCGGGGATCTGGGTAACCCCAGGCAGCTCCTCCCTGGTTTGTGACCCCAGACGTGTCCAGGCTCTGCCGCTTTGGTGCTCAATAAAAAATGACCAGCCTATTTTTCAACCCTGCCTGGTTTCACTTGTGTCTTCTTGGCATACACTGAGCTTCAAATTATGAAAAAATGGACAAATGTTTTATATTTCAGTTGTTGGGGGAGGCTCAGATAACAGGTGCTGGAAATGATGCCTCAAGGAGAAGGTGGCTCTTTTGTCTGACCAGGCACTGTCCTTGTTGGCTCAGTGCTCTTGGTCGCTGCTGGCTGGGTCTCAGCTGCCAGCTCAGGTGGTTTGGGCTGCACAAGCAGCTCCTCAGGCAGCTTTGCAGGAGGCCAAGGCTCTCTGGAAGGGTGGAAAAGCAAACCAAGCTGAAGGGCAGTGCTGGGCTGTGCCCACTGCAGGACACGGAGCTGGCAGAGCAGAGAGGTTGGGCTGCTGAGCTCTGCGTTTCCAAGGAGCAGGCAAGACTCCACCATCCCACCTGCCCCACCCACACTGGCCTTGCTCAACCTGCTTGTCAGGAGTGGGCAGGAGTCCTCCTGCATTGCCTCCCTTCTGCCCTGAAACCGTATCAGGGAGAGAAAGTGCCTGTAATTTAGCCATGGAGGGGATAGCAGGGAGTCAGTGCTGTGGAAAGGTGTTTGGGAGGGGTTGAGAAGATGCCAGCCAGCACTAGGTGTCAGGGTACCTCTTTACTCTGTCAGGGAAGTTGGGATCAATCGGATTTTTCGTGGCAGTTCTCACAGAGACTTTTTGGAAGGTTGTACAGGGTGTGTGTACGTAACTCCTGCCTCCTGCAAGTGTGACACGGACCAAGTACCTCGGCTTTCAAGGAAAGGATCTGTTTGGTGAACACCACAAAATCATGTTTTAATTTCAGCTTGTTTCCATGTCAATGCAAGAAAATATAGTTCCTGTTGCTGTAGCTGGGTAATGGTCTTTGTGGAAAAAAACACAATTTAAGCAGTGGAGACTGTGCAAAAGGAAACCAAGAGCTTTAATTAAATTCTTCCTTCCTCATTCCACACCTAGGGACAGACCTAAGGATTTCACTCAGCCTTTCTAAGCAGCATTGACAAGATGGAAAGGAACCACAGCCCAAAGCTCTCTTCTCTGCATTTATAACCAAGAGCAGGGGATGTTCTGCCCAGGGGCCGGGAAAAATCCCAACCTGAAAGCAAAGTACTCAGATTTTTTTGGGTAGCAGCAAACTCAATTCTACCCATGCAGCAGAGATTTTTTCCCTCAAGGTGGCACAAGAGGAACAAGAGTGTGATAAGCCCTTGTTCAGGCAGGGAAGCAGCACCTTGACCTCACAAGCAGCATCCTTTTGGTCTCAGGGAATCTCAGAGCACAGCTCCTTTGCTCTGTGTGTCTTCATAACAGATACTTTGTATTTAAAAAAAAAAAAAAAAAAAAGGTTTCCCAAATAAGAACTGGAGCTTTATTATCCAACTAAATAGGAACTACGACTAAGGGCACTGTCGTTGGGCTGTGTGTAATGCTTTTATAGTGTGAAAATGATGTCTCATACCAGAGTGAAGAAATAGAACTTGTATAAGTGTTGTTTTCTTTACGTTATAGTGTTGATTCAGTTTATTCCCAGCATTTTCTGAGCCATGACATAGCAAAATACATGAATTTTTCATTAGATTTCTTAACAGGTAGAAATCAAAAGCAGCCAGAAAATGACACTTGAGCCCATTCAGCAATTTCACAGAGTGGCAAACAGCAAGAGCAACATTTTCTTCCTGCATTTATTCCATTTCACTGGTGCTGAAATGGAATTTCACATTACAGAACCGAAGGAACATAAAGATGACAGAGAGGGCCGTGGCCCTGAGGCCAAAAACCACTGTTCCTCCTGCAAGTCTGCTGGGTAACAAACCACCCTGCACTGATGATTGTGGTGCATTATGATGCTCATCAACTCATTTTTCTCCTTTTCCATGCCCTGCTTGTTTTGGTATTTCTGTTACACCACTCACTGCATCGCTTCCCCTCCCTAACCCAGGATGTGGCACCTGGGCTGTGTCCACCTTATGTGGATTCTGGATTTTGTGCCTATAAAGGGGGGAGATGTTTTTCACCAGTTTTCTAGCAGAGACAAGAGGATTTGGAGTGATCCCAAAGCTGTGGCTCCTGCAAATGCACTGGGATGAGCAGGAGAAGGTGTTCCCTGGCAGGCAGTGCTGCTGTGCCTTGTCAGGAGCACAGCAGGGCCAGCTGGCCGTGCTCCAGGCCCTTGGAACAGCTGCAGAAGGGGGGATCAGTGTGAAAGCACAAATGAGCTCAGAGGGGTTTCACCTCCTAATTCCCCTACATTTCCATAATATCCAAATCCCTGTGTACCCCTGGGCTGCTCCAAGTCCCGGCTAAGCACCTTACCTAAACCCTGGGCAGGGCCTGGATGTGAGATTCCCAAAAATCAGAGCCCAGCATTATCCCCGGATCCTTTCCCATGGGAAGGAGGGCTGTTGAGGCGATGCAGGAACTTCCTTCATCTGCCTGACGCATCCAGCTCGGATCCTTACGAAAGCGTTGCTCAACCAGGAGCCGAGGGAGTTGGGAAGCACCAGCCGTGTTTTCCGAGAACGCGGCTCTTTGCAGGGTGTTTCCCAATCCTTTTGTTTTCTCCTCAGTCTGGGAAGAAGCCCCTCCCTCCACAGGGGGTGCTCTCTGTAGCTGCATCGTGCCAGGGGAGCGTCCCACGGGGCTCATCAGCTTTTCCCGGAGCTGGGAGATGCAAATAAGCAACGCTGAAGTTCTCCAGGGGAAAACACCGTTTTGGTGGAAGTTGGCCAGGTTTTGGGTACCGTGGGCTGTCACACAGGTGACAGCCTCATCACGGTCCAGGTGTCACCACCTGCTCCAGAGCTGTGAAGCTGTCACTTGGACCTCCTTGGAGAAAACTATTCTCCTGCAGGAAACTGCACATCTATTTTTCTCCTGCTGGGAATGACATCTATTCCCTTGGTGCAGTTTTCACTGTCAAAGGAGTGTCTCAACCTCATAGTTTACACCTCAGAGACAATTTAAGTGTAAGTGAATCCCACAGTCATGATGCCTGGGGGAAGATGTAGTTCTCATGGTACCAACCAGAGCACGATGCTCCTTGACAGGCAGGCATAAATCTTTGGAAATGATGTAACTGGTGAACTTTATCAATCATGGAATGATAGAACCATAGACTATCCTGAGTTGGGAAGGACCCATAGGAATCATCAAAGTCCAGCTCCTGACACTGAAGTCCAACTTTAGCTGCATGTTGCAATCCACCGTGAAAGCACAAATAAAACACTGGAGTTTTATAGATGATCATCACAAATTCCCACATCACACATTCATGCCCTGTCCCTGATGCAAATACTTACAAATACCGGCCTTCTGCTGACTGGAGCGTTTCCTAAGGAGGATTACCCCAGCCTGGAAGTTTACAAACAGGCTGGGCAGTGTGTATGTAACCTGTCCCGCCCCTGCACGCAGCAGCCTTGCCAAAACACCTTTCCCTATCTGCTGCCCGGGATGTGGCACCGCCGACGCTCCTCCCGAAACAATCTTCCAGAGGGCGGAGGGAAAAACCTCAACCTGCTCTTCAGGTGCTGTCACACACACACACAGAGACAACACATCGAGTTCGCTCGTGTCCCAGGCACGGCGTCAAAGGCAGCCGGGCAGGGTTTTATGGGCAGCACCCAGGGTGTGCAGCCTCCCCCGGCCCCGCCGGCCGAAGGCGTGACTTGGCTGCAGGTAAAGGTGCCTCTCCCTGCCGGTCACCCCAGCCCTGAGCTCGCAGGGGAATTGGAGCCAGCACTTCCAGCAGCCGGCGGCCCCATCCCGGTGGCCCTGGGGCGCTCGCCACTGCGGCGCAGAGAAGATGGGAGAAGGGATTTTCACCAAACTCTTCCAGAAAAGGTCGTTTCTCCGCTTCGTGAAGAAGTATCAGCCCCTTGGAAGCGGCGAGCCGGAAGAGGAGGTGAGGATTGGCTGTGCCTCTTGCCTGGACCTGCTGAAATAGTTTGTGTGATTTGGGGTTAATTTTGTCTACTTTGTCTGCTTCGTCCCACCGGTAACTCGATATTGCTGCCGCTGCGCTCTCCCCTCTCTGAGCAGCCGAGTCACTCCCCGTGCAAGGAGGGGTGAGATTAATGTTGTTTACCAGGCAGTGGGGAGCAATGGGGAGCCTTGTTTCCATGCAATACTCCCAGGACATAAAGCTCAGGCCTGAATCCTGCCCAGGAACTTTGTTCTCTGCACTGAGGAGGCTCAAAATTAAGGAAACGCGTGGCAGAGCACATCGTGTGGCCGTGGGTGCTGTGTGAGCCCTGGAGTGTGGGCACAACGTGCCAACAGTGCCTCAGCAGAGGGGAAATGAAGAGCAAGGCTCATAACCCTGTCCCCAGGGGTCCCATCTGCCCCAGCACTGGTCAGAGATGGAGGGACTGTGACCCCTCAGGCTGCCCTCTGTGCTGTTGCTGCAGTCAATGCTGGTAAGGAGTGGCCAAGAACAGCTTTGGCTCAGACCTGCAGAGTCCACTTGGAAGTGATGCTTTCTTTTCCTCCAAAAATGCTGGTGCAGAGCACTGATGTCCCCTGCCTGCTCTCACTACCTCTCCCTGGTGCAGATGGACCAAAAAGTGGCCAGTGGTGGTTTGGGTGACATATTTGCTGTTCTCCTCATTTTTTCATCACAAAATTTTCAGGTCTGGGATTATGTGATTGTTTGCTCAGCACAGAGTTTTCCATGGCCCGAGACCCATTTTTCACTCCCACATGACAGATTGGTTGGGTGCTCTCTCACATGAACCCCATTTATCCAGTTCCTTCAGCACGTGGCATTAAGCCCTCACTCCCATCCCAACGAGCACCATCCACATACATGGAGATACTCCTGTGCTTTTCCTTACTGTCTGACTGAGGCCTTTTCTCAGATAACACTTCAGCTAATCCCCTGCTCCCTTCTGAGTCTCGTCTATCCAGTGTGGGGGTTGGTGAGTGTTACAGGGAGAAGAAAATAAGACATTGAGCTCTTCCCCTGTTTACCACACAGTGGGTTGGGAGATACTGCTCTACATTGCTCACATAGAGCCCAGAATCCCAGGAAAAGAGTATCTTGATGAGGTCACAGAACATATCTGTACCCTGGCTTGATGGGAAGCTGAGATTTCTCATCACACACAGGCAGGAGGCTTGTTCTTTGGCTGCACCATTTCTACTGTGACAAAATAAATAATGACATGTATTTACTCCCAAATCTAACCCCCTCTTGAGTTTTAGCTCTGGTCCATACAGAGAGTGATGTGTGTGCATAACAGGACAGGGAGACAACCTGAGATTTGGTACAGGATAGGAAGTAGGCAGCAGATGAAAACAGGAATTTGATAAATCAAGAACTTATTCTCAGATCATGATTTAGCCTGGTAAATGACTCACATTTTCCCTACTCAAGGGTATTTTGCTCCTTTACTTGAATATACTTGCAGAGCACTGAAGTATTGTGGTCCAAGGGTTGTGCTGGGCCTTAAAGCTGGATGGGAGTCGAGGTAATCTGGTAGGATTCTGGCCTGGATAAGTGCAAGAACTGGGTTGTGAAGGAAAAGCCCCAGTGCTGGTCACTGTGAGGTGATGGTCAGTTCAGGGGCTCTGGGGATGGTGTCACCTGGAGCTGGCAGGACACTGACCCTGCACATCAAAGCACAGGCACAGCCTGAGTTGAGGTGCTGTGTGTGGTTCCATCTCCATTTCTGCAGTGCCTCATCAGGGACATTTTTGGGGGGGCAATTTGCAGTTTACAAGAATTGGATGTTTTCCTGCAGAAATGTGAAGAACAACCAAAGGTTTTTCTTCTGAGCATCCCAGTGTGTGTAGGTGTGTGTGTGCACATGCACAGTCACAGGTACCCATGTGTTTGTGTGTGTGAAGGTGAGAGAAAAGCCTGTGCACTGCCTCTTTACATCACCTTTTCCCTCTGACCCTGTACCAGGGTCACCCCTGTAGCCCCAGTGAGCCTGGTGAGCACAGACCCTGCTTCAGAAGGAGCTGCCTCCTACTCCAGGCACATCTTGTAGTAGATTTTAATGCAGTAAGGTCTTCTTCAGATTTTCTTCAGAGCTGCCAGGACTTTTCCTTTGCAGCTGTTTCGTTTCTCCTCACCCTTTTGATCCTTTCCCCCACAACACCTGATCCACACAGGATTCATTAGCCATGAGATGCAGTAAAGCTACTTCCCAGCTCTGTCCTACCCTCAGGACTAAATTAATACTTCAAGTTTCACACGAGGGAACATTTCTCTCCAGGAGACTTTCACAGGCTCTGTGAAAGGCTCTCTGAAAACACGTGTGTGTTTTCAGTCTCTTAGAGGTGTCAAGCCCAATTCCTCACAACTGAAAAGCTTCCAGCAGGCAAGGAGCTAAATCCTTCTCTCCAGCTCCCACAGGTTTTTGGATTGAGGGCTACAGCCCCTCCCTCCCAAGAGACCTTATATAGGAAGTTACCTTAAACTCCTGGATTTTGGTTTTCTTTTTAACCTGAGTGGGACTGGCTTGGGTGAGCAAGGAGGCGCCTGGACTGGGATCACTGTTGGCTGTGGAGCTGCAGCAACTGGGTTTTCCTGCAGGAATGGAAATGCTTCTTTCAGCTCAAGAGACTTTGTTTTACATTAAAGGGAGCTGTGAGATTTTATTCTACATTATTTTTTATTAAGGTTCCTGAGGTTTGGGCACTGCCCACCCAGCCTGAGTCAGCCCCAGTACCCCTGGGGGCAACTTAAAATCCAGGGAATAGTTTTAAATCAGCATTTCTGGAAAATCCTTGGCTTTTTGAACAATCAAAGGGACTGTTTTGAGGTTTATATCTGCAACCAGGGAGACCAGATGCTTTATTTCACGTAAAAAATATTGGAATTCTGGGATAGACATTTAACAGAGGAGTGAGAAAATCTGTGTGAGAGGAGCTGAAACCATGGTGGTGAGTGGGAAAGGGCTGGGAGCTTGGATAGGGAAGCCCAGCAAGGCAGCCCCTCCTTTGCAGGGCTGAGGGTTGCTCTGGGTTGGATTCTGGATTGTTCCTGCACCCCTGAGACACAGGGGTTTTGTCTGCCTTGTCCACGAAAAAAAAAAAAAAGCCACGTAGAGGGCTTTGGAGGAGATGGTTTGATTTATTTATTGCATCTTTGGTTTATGTGTTAAGGATAAATGTAAAGGGCATCTTGTACACTAAATAACCCAGCCCACTGGATTACAGTACATTAACTGGTCCAAAACAACCTCAGACAAGGGAAAAGAATATGCAAAGTCTCAGTAAAGGCAGAGGTGGGGGAAAATCCCTCGAACTGATCTTTTGGGCTATTTGCCAGAGTACACAAAAAGGGCTGTGTGCTCTGCAGAAAGTCCTATGCTCTCTTCCTCCCACATGGGCTGCTCAGCGTGACAATTGATGGATTGTTTCAGGATGAGGGATGTGCAGGTACCTCCAAGGTGGCTCCCGGCCCCCAGCAGCTGCTCCTTGCAGCCTCCAGTATTTCCTGATCTTGCAAAGTGATAGATAAACTGATAATTAGCTTTTTGTTACTTCTTCCTGCCCTGCTTTATGGAGTTGTGCACTCTTGTGCCTAAAAGATAAAGGTTATAAAAGTAAATGGATAATGTGGATAACCCACATTTGCTTTGCAATGCAAATAGAAAAGTAAGTGATGCTCAAGGAGAGGTTTGTTTGTGAAGAGGTTTGCTCGGGACACTGCCTGGTGCCCAACACCCATGGGGTGAGATGTGAAAAGGGGCTCTGCGCTGGCAGAATGTTGCAGAGGAGGAGGGAGACAGGGCCCCACTGCTGCATTTCCAACCTGTGCATCTCTGAGGCCGTTCATCTGGTGGGAAAATCACAGAACTCATCCCAGTAGAGCTGTTCCTTTCCCCACAGCCCCTGACTGTCAGGAGCAGGGAGCTGTCAACATTTTGAATGACACCACAGACACCTTTGGTCATTTATTTCCTCCGCACCTTTTTGAAGGCAAATATTGGTGATAGAGCTGGGCCCTGATGGCCCCGCTGGCTCTGGGGACTGTGGGCATTGTCATCCTCCTGCCCAGGTCTCTTCCTGCCTTCCAGCTGCTTTAATTAAAATTTAAACTCCTTCAAGGCAGGTCTGTACCTTGATACCTGAGTGTGTCACCTGCAGCACAGAGGAGCCTGTAGAAGCCACGTTAATTAGGATGGTAATGAATGCAGGGATGTGTCTATCCGTGACAGCCCCAGGTTTTCTTCCCACCAAGTCTTTCCATCTCCTTAGACACATGGATGGCCCTCAGGCTTGCAGTGTCTGGGTGCCAACAAAGTTGTAGGGGACTGATGGATTTACACAACCAGAACACACAAATAGGGATATAAATCATCGGTGTTAAACATGGAAGGACTTTTTTTTGCCCCTTCTAGAGATGTCTGTTAAGGAGATGTTGAAATAAGGGTGATGTCCAGCGCTAGTAGGGCTCAATAAAGGGGACCAATAGTGCAGCTTCTTTGGGCAAAGTGTGGCCACCAGCATGAGGGAATCGTGAGAGCAGGAAAATCCTTGGAGACCTTGGGCCAGTTGCTGGGGTTTGGGGGAGTCAGGTTGTTCTTGGGGCAAAATGGCTTTTAAATGAGCCCTCTCCAGTCCAGGGGGTCAGGGCAGGCTCCTGTGCTTTTCTGGGAGCAGGTGGGTATCCCATATGTTGGCAGCTGAGCTGCGGGTCTGGAAATGGCCATAGAAAGGGGGCTGCAACAGATGGATGTTGGGCTAAAGCCTTTCCAAGCAGCAGGGCTTAGAGATGCTCCTTGCTTACCTGCTGTGAGCTCTCCAGAAACCACAAGATCACGTCCAGAAACCAATTCCACGTCCCAGCGGGAGCAAACAGCCAAGGAGACTTTTCTGCATTTCTGATTTCCTGCATTAATCTTACATTGCAAAGCACTGGATGTTCCTAGAAAGCTCCTGAATATTCAGGAGGACTAATTACCCAGATACTGCTGCAGGTACCCCTGAAATCCTCCAAACCTTGCTCAGCTGCAGATGAGCCAGACCTGGATGCATCCCACAGCAAACACCCCTGGGTGCTGGCAGCAGGGAGAGGTGACAAACTGCTCCCAGAGCTGAGCACCACGATCCCTGGGGATGCCTTTCTTAATGAACACACACTCTGGTGCTTCATGAATGAAGGTAAATGGGAACAGAATCACTGTCCCTTGGGAAGGCTGAGATTTCTCCCTCTCTGTACTTACCCTGCAGTAGTGGTCACACCACCTCTGTCATGGGCCTGGCTGAGATCTCAGGGAATGCTGCTGCTTTGGAAAGTGCATTTTTTTATAAGAAAATGAGAGATCTTGAAAGGAAAAAGAGATTGGGGTGTTGAGACCTTGGGCTGCCTGGATGGAGCAAGAAGATTTATCCTGCTTGGAAGCATTTGTGCAGTCAGAGGTGGACCAAAACAGCCCTGCATTTGGGAGAGGAGATTTTGCTCTATCTACTGGCTCAGAGGTTTTCCTAGCTCACATTTTCAGTTCATTTATTATGTCTTTAACAAGGGGAAAGGGTTTCTTCCTTATTCTGAGTGCTGACTGTGGGCTTGTGAGACACAGAGATGGAAAAATGATCCTCTGGGACAGGACACCTCAAACAGCACCAGCCTGACACTTTTCTCATCAGCAGCATGTGCTTCTCTTTTTGGCTACTCAGCTCCTGATGGCCTGTCTTCCACTACAAGAATGTGCACCTGGCTTTGAGGCTGTAATCAGGATTAATTAGTGAATGGTATAAAGCTGTAATTTGGGAAGTGTCGTAGCTAACTGAAGCTGCACATCTGGCAAGGTGAGGGGAAAGAGTGGGATTAAGAGAAGAAGCAAAGAGGTGCTGAAATGCTGTCATTTGCTCTGCTCTCACCTAACCATTGCTTTATCCTGTTTACTCAGCCCTGTGATGAGTGTGAGCTGAAAATAATTGAGCAGGAGAAGGAGGTGACAGTTGTGCCCCCGAAAGATGCCTGCAAATGCCACAAGGAAGACTTGGCGAGAGCTCTGAAGGTAAGGATGTGTGTGGGTCTTTGCCAACATGGAATGCAGATGGTGGGATCTGCCTGTGGGAAAGGGCTGAGCAGCAAAATCGGTCCTAAATTCTCATGCAAACTCCTGGAGTGCCCAATTCCTCTGCACTTACATGGGGTGAATCCTTGCCCTGGACGGGTTCCAGGGTCAGCATTGGGAATTTGGACTTTGTTTGTCTTAGGGAAGGGTTTCACTGAAGGGAACTACTCTGTGGGTGAAATTCCCTTGAAGTCCCTTGTCCAGCCTGGAAAATGGAGCCCTGGGGGGGCTGAGGCAGAGGAGGGTCCCCAGCACAGGCTGCACTGCACAGACACCGGGATTCAGGGAGGAAACAGCCAGGGAAAGTTACAATGCTTGGCTATATTGTGGTTTCTAACCTCAGTGTTTTTTTTAAATCCAGGCAAAACAGCTCTTATCCCTTCTCATTTTGATATCTTTGAATTTTGTTAGAGTATTTTTATTTTAGTATTTTCCTTTAAATATACAGTGAAACCAGAAATCGATTCTTTCCTTTATTGGTTTAGATTTCTAATTTGTTAGATTAGATTTCTAATTTGTAGTGTTTCTCCCTTTTGGAAATACTTTTTTTTTTTTTTTTAAATTAACTTGTGCTTACATTAACTTTAATGGTTGATCGTAAAGTTTTATAGTTTAACACAAATAAACAATTAAACAGAAAAAGAGTGGGCAGATTTATTTATTTTTGTGGGGAACTGAGCAGTGAACATCTTGCCCAGTCTGCTTACAGGGGTTTAACATAACCTTGCCTAAGTAAGTTTTCCATAACAATATATAATATTTGGAGCCCCTGGTGGTCTAGGGGTAAAGGCGCCGCGCTATCACCGCGGAGACCCGGGTTCGATTCCCGGTCAGGGCCACTCCCGGGCAGGTGGGGCTCGTTAGCCCTTAAAGGCAACCCACCTACGTCCTGAGGACCTCACTGCCACTGTCCAAGCTCGCTTGGCCCCGGCAGATGAACCTTAGGATTAAAGGGTGGGCTCAGTTCCGCGCACACTGTGTCTCACCTAAAAAATCCTATGCGCAGGCTGGAAGGTGGAAAGACCTTCCCCGGATCTTCGCTCGCGAAGACTGGCCATTATTATTATAATATTTGTGTTGGGTTTGGGGTTTTCTCCCCCTCTAGGTTGATTTACAGACTGGACTGTCCGAGTTTTCCGTGCTCCAGCGCAGGTTAAAACACGGTTGGAATGAATTTTCAGTAGAGAAGAAGGAGTCGATATGGAAGAAATATCTGGACCAGGTAAGGGATTTTCTGCACAGATTCTCATTTCCTGGCAAAGTCCCCTGGCTGAGAATGTCTCTGCATTGAACTATTCAGAGTTTCTACTTCCAGAGGTTCAGCCTTGGGACAGGCTGTGCCCTGGACACAGAAACTCTCCGTTCCCTGGGAAAACCATTGTGAGGTCCCGATGCAGAGTGTGCAGATAACATCTTCAAGCAGAAATAAACCTTTTTATCTCCACACAGCCCACAAATCAAAAGCTGTAGATCAGTGCCCTGATTGCTGGAGCATATTTATTCCCTTTAAGGCAAGTGATAAAATCATGAAAGGTTTGAGGAGAACCAGCAGTAGCTGAAAGCTGCCCTGATTTTGGCTGCTACAGTGAGGGAAAGGCCTGAACCTCCAGTGAAGGGGCAGCTGTGGAGCCCAGGGCAGTGATATCAGTGATGCATCACTGACAGAATCATTCACACACAGTGCCAGGGGGTGTGAAGATCCATGATTTCATGCCAGCTTCCCCAAAAAGCCAGGCAGAAGGTGGTATTTGCAATCTTGTCTTCCCTCAGCTGAGTTTTACTTTAATTAACTATTTCTCATAACTACTTAATGCATCTTTCACCTCTCTTTTAAAACTTTTCGCTAAACAAAACTAAACTTGTTTTGTTTGGTTATATTTTTTATTTTCAACCAGTAATTTGACAGATTCTATTCTTTAAGGGGCCTTAAAATCCACGTTTAGAAGTGAAAAAGTGAATACCTGGCCCCCACAGCATCAGTCTAGTGAAGAGCTGAGCAGATTAATTAAAGAAAAAATGAAACCAAAAAAAAGAAAAGAGGATTTTTGGTTTCAAATTCTAAAAAGACAATAAAGTCTTTCTTTGTACTTACTGTGCATCCAAGGAGCTTCTAGAGTCAGCCCTGTGCTGGGTGCCTGCAAAGGGGAGCACTGCCTGTGCAAAGAGGGGAAAAGTGAGGAAACTTTTGTCTTTTGGTGTGAGTCTTTTCCTGGTGCCCAAACCACCCTGTACAGCACTGGGCTTTGCAGATACCTGGCTGCAGGTGCTGCACCCCCTGTCTGGGACAGAGCAGTGCTGCTACACGAGCAAGGAAGGTCCCTGCAGCAAAACCAACCCCTGCTGAGCTCTGCACCAGCTCAGCTTCAGCATCTCCACATTTAATTTCATATTGCAACTTGTTTTGTTTTGTTTTGTTTTTCAGTTCAAAAGCCCCCTCATCCTCCTGCTGCTGGCCTCAGCTTTGGTGAGCGTCATCACAAAGGAATACGAGGATGCAGCCAGCATCACCATGGTAGGTGGGACCTCTCCTGCATCCCAACCCTTGGATGGCTCCCTGAGCTGGTGCATCCACACCTGTAACTCCTCCTTGTTCACAGGCCGTGCTCATCGTGGTCACCGTGGCCTTCATCCAGGTAGGTTATCCCAGGGCTCAATTCCATGGGCATGGCTGTTGGGAGCCATCCCTCTCCTGTAACTCCTGGCTCTCTTCTCCTCTCTCCTTTAAAAGGAATATCGCTCTGAAAAATCTCTGGAGGAGCTCAACAAGCTGGTGCCCCCCGAGTGCAACTGGTGAGACATTCCTGCTGCAGGGGGTTGGCAGGGATGGGGGTAAGAGGGCAGAGCCACCAGGTGAAGAAAATTCCTTCAGGTTGTTGTGGACATAATGAACCCCTGGTCCTCTGGAGGGGTGGCACCGTGTGTGGGTGCAGCTGCAAGACATAGGAAAAGGGGATGAAGTCATTAAAATAGGCACCCTATATTTGAATAAATGCTCAGAGACAGGAAGGTCCCAGAAACGTCCCACTCCGCACACTGCATAAAGATCCCTGCAGCCTTCTGTGTGTCACTGATTCCCTGGGCAGGGAAAACCTCACCTGTGAATTTCTGGGGGATTTTAGGGTGGGTTTACCCCTAAAAGCTTGGCACAAACCAGCACAGGAGCGGAGGTGCATGTGGGCTGGGGTTCCTCACTCCTGTTTCTGTACATACACGTCGGGCACAGGGGAGTGCAGCGATTCCACAGTCCCTGGAGCAACTGCAGGTTGTACCAGATCCTGCTGCCCTGAGGGCTTTGATGTTTGCTATCAGTGCCTTAAATTACAGGAAACGTTCTTCCTCCTGAAGCCTCTGCAAGTCAGTTTTGCCACGGCCAACATAACATAAATAAGCGTTGAGGCTCAGGGAAGCCTGGCCCTGCTAAAGAGGTGTGGGGTTTTCCTCTGGTCCAAAGTTCACCCTGGTTTGGAGCTTGCAAACCCCACTGTTGGTTCTTTATTTATTTATGATATGACACCATAAGCATCTGACTGTTTGGAAGGCTGTACTTTGAATGCAATGGTGGAATGCCAGGGCTAACTGTAGCTTTAAAAAGCTTCCTTTTAGGTTAAAGAACCTGCATTTCATTATTTAGAGCATGAAAGCACAGCTTCTCTTGTCACTCCTATCTACTGGCTAAATACTGTTTAATTCACTTATTGCTGAAATGTAAATCACCCATAACCTGCCCATCTGTTCATGAATTAAAACTGAGTCTAAACTGAACATAATCCTCTTCTCATCATTATGAGGATTTTATGTTCTTATTTACGTTGGAAGTTCTTTGGGGAAAGGCTTCTTGTTTTCCTGCCAGTCACATTCCCAGGCCTGCAGAAGGAGTAAAAACCTCACAGCCTGGTTTGCTTTCTTCTTTTTCCATTTATCTGATGTAGCCTAAGGGATGGGAAACTGCAGCATCTTCTAGCACGAGAGCTGGTGCCTGGAGATATCATCTACCTGTCTGTTGGAGACAGGGTTCCTGCAGACCTCAGGCTGATAGAGGTAAATACAGCTATGGAAGAGGCTGGCTTGGAAATTCCTTGTCCTAGCAGTGCCAGAAATGTGTCCCTTTCATTAGGTTACAGATCTGCTGGTGGATGAATCCAGTTTTACTGGAGAAGCTGAGCCTTGCAACAAGACTGATACTGTGTTGCTGGAAGCTGGAGACATAACCACACTGAGCAATGTGGTTTTCATGGGGACCCTGGTGCAATACGGGAAGGGAAAAGTGAGTCCTGACATCATCCATCTTTTCCTTGGCATTAATTACAGATCCTTTCAGTGTGGGCATGGAGTGACAGCACAAAGGGGGAGTGACTTTGAGCTGGCAGAGGGCAGGTTTAGATTAGATATTAAGATTATTTACTGAGAGGGTGGTGAGGCCCTGGCACAGGTTGCCCAGAGAAGCTGTGGCTGCCCCATCCCTGGAAGTGTCCAAGGCCAGGTTGGATGGGGCTTGGAGGAACCTGGGCTAGTGGAAGATGTCCCTGCCCATGGCAGGGGTGGAATGAGATCATCTTTAAGGTCCCTTCCAACCCAAAGCATTTGGGGATTCTATGAATCTCTAGATTTTTTTTCATCTCCATCTCTTTTTATTTTTTTTTCAGGGCATAGTTATTGGCACAGGAGAAAGTTCCCAGTTTGGCGAGGTGTTCAAAATGATGCAAGCTGAAGAGGTAACACAGTCTGTGCCTGTGGAAATGCTGCATGGCCTGGAGGAAAGTGTGTGAGCAGGAGCAGTGCCAAGAGTTAATGCACTGGGTTCAGTTCTGCTCCTGCTGCAAAATGCCTGTGTGGCTGAGGGACATCAAAAGTGCTGTCTCTGACAGAGGAGGTTATTAGCAGGACTCAGGCTTCTAAATCCAGACTCGTGATATGTAGCTTGTATCTAATTTCATAGTCACCTAAAATTTGTGGTTTCTTCTTTTTTTTATTCCACATGCATATTTTCCAGTAGGTATAAAAAATTTTCACTTCTGCACGTGTCAAGATTTCAGCAGTCAGATCTCTGAACTAACACAGATGAGGGGGTAGAAACTAATTAACTCTTGATCCATTAACACAAGAAATCACAGGAAAGCAGAAGCAGCCACTCTTCTGTGTTGCTGTGATGCTCTGCAGATCTCTGCAAATTGCTGCTGCAGAACAGGAGCTCAGGTCTGGTAACTTCCTTGGCCTGAAAGTTTCTCTGAGCTGGCTCAGTGGAGAAGGGTCTGCTCAGGTCTGCCAGGTCACAGACAGACTGACCCTGGCCTGGAGAAGAGAGCACAGACCATGGCGATGGGGTCCAGACCTTTTATCCCCGTCCCAGAGGCTTTGCACACACATTATCCAGTCCTAGACTCAATCATTAAGGTCCTTTCCAGATTTAGCCTTTAGTCTGTCTCTACCTTGGATCCCCATCTGTAAACTAATATAATTAATTCATCTCTTCTCCCACTTTTTGCCTGTCTGGAGTGCATTGAGGCAGAGACTCACTCCCTGCAGGATGGTCTGTTGGGATTTGGGTGGGGTAAGCACTGGATAACTGTAAAGACCATGGAAAGGATAAGCAGGACTGTGTGAATCAGCTGTTCTGGGCTGACAAGAATCTTCTCATCCCATAACACAAGTAAAGAAAACCAGATATTCTCTAATTTTTCCAGACTCCCAAGACTCCTCTACAGAAAAGCATGGACAGACTGGGGAAGCAGCTCAGCCTGTTCTCCTTTGGCATAATCGGTGAGTGGGACACAGAGCTGGCACTTGCACTGTGGAATCCCTCCCTGCTCCAGGGCTGCTTCCCCAGCAGAACTTGTTAATGTGGGTGACCTGGACTTTGGGGCTGCAAGCAGAGACAACTCTGCAGGAGAGATTTGGGTGCCTATTGCATTTTTAATTCTAAATCAACAGCTAAAGAAGGTTAGAGATTTATGAATTTCTTGAAGTTTTTTTAATGGGATGTTTCTCCCCCCCCCAGGTCTGATAATGCTCATTGGGTGGTTACAAGGGAAGCATCTCCTCAGCATGTTCACCATTGGAGTCAGGTGAGGGCTGCAGAGCACCTTTCTCCTTGATTTCTAATGAAACATATCCCAGGGAATTCCCTGTTCAAAACAAGGGACATTTCACAAAAGAGAACTTGAGTGAGACCCTTCCTAAATACACATTGCTCTTGTACTGGTGACATTAATGTGAGCTTTAAACAGAGTTCAGGAGAACAAGAGTTTGAGGGCTTATTTAATTTTGGAAATTGGCATTTCGAAAATCTTCACTAGCATCTCTACCTCATCATGCTGTGAATGCCCTTTCCTATCTGTACTATGAATTCAAGTGGGAGTGTAGCAACGGCAAATATTACCCTTTGCTGTTCTTACTGGGCTTACGTCTGAAGATATGAATGAACAATTCATGCAGCATAAAAGAGCGTGCACAGCCTCCTAATCAAACATAATAAACCATGTTCCTACGTTGCAGTAGTGCCCATAAACCATCTTACTTGGGGTTGTCATGGCTCTAAAATCAGTTCTTAAAAAAACTATTCTATGGAAATTAAAACAAAACCCCGGATGAGGAGACAAAAGAGAAGCCAAAATGGCTCAGTGCCACCTCCCTGTCTGCCAGGGCATGTGGTGGCAAAGAGAAGTGGTTAATCCTGAGTTTTGGAGAGCAGCCTATGGTTTTGAAAGCCCTCCTTGATTATATTTTGCACAGACCTAAAACCATTCAGACTTTCCCAAGGAATATCTAATATTGAAGATATAGACTGTGTCTGGATTTCTCCAGCATATCAGATGTGGAAGGTTTTGGTATTGCACCAATTGACTGTGGGGACATCTGGGGAGCTGGTTCTGCCCCTCCACAGTGGGTAAGAGAGGAGATGAGGGGCTGCATGTGGCCAGGAGCCAGTAGCTAATGGGTGAGCCATGATGCCAAGGAATATTCAACTTCCATCCTCAGCAAGTTAAATAAACGAAATGAAATCCAGCCACTAAATCCCTGCTTAGCCAGAAATTAATGCTCTTTGGCAATGTAAAGAAGAAAAATAATTGCTCTGTCAAAAATCATCCTGAAAAAGGTTGAAGGGTTGGACAAATATCCCGGTTTTGTATTTACAGCGTGCCAGGAGTCCCAGCGGTGCTCCCAGGCGGACACTCAGAAAAACTCATGCCATGGGAACGTCCCAGTGGCACATTTTGGTCAGTGTTTGTTGCTTGACCCCTTGCTGAAGCTGTTGTGTCTCTGGTGTCCCCAGCCTGGCCGTGGCTGCCATCCCTGAGGGCCTTCCCATCGTGGTCACAGTCACCCTGGTGCTGGGAGTTCTCCGGATGGCCAAGAGGAAGGTGATTGTGAAGAAGCTGCCCATAGTAGAAACCTTAGGTAAGGCTGCCAAGGGGCCACTCAGCTCAGCCACCTGCCAGGCTCCAAAATCTGAGCCACGGGCTGACCCTGTGAGCCTTGGTTTGATCAAAAGCATACATGTGGAATATGCTTACTGGGACAGAGCAACCCACTCAGAATTAAATATGTTTTCTACCCTTTCTCACCCTTTTCCCTTATTTTAGTGGTATGAACACAGGCAGATGCTTGGAATGATGCAACCCAAGCCACGGTCCACAGGGCACAGACATACATGCCTTGCTTGAGTTAAAAGCTTGGGTTTTTTCTTCCTCTCCATGCTCTGGGATCATCCTGCAGGTCCATCCTGTCCACTTCTTCAGTGTCTGGCTAAAAACCTCCCAGCCTCAAGTCAAGCCTGGCAGCATAAATAAATGTATCCTTCTGCAACCTGGGTGGCCATCTCCCTGATATCCAAAAAGTCACGGAGAGCAGGGACAGAGAGACCTTGAGAAGGCGTCCAGCCTGTCTTCAAAACTTCAGAGCAGAATGAACCAGAATGAAATTATTCTTTCACCTCCCCTTTTCCTCAAATGGGCCCTTACTCCCAAGTGGCTGCATACCTGGGTCAGGGTAGCAGGGAAATTGAGGAGGAGACGCTGTGGTGTCTGTTTAGAACCCCCATTAAACTCCCACTAAATGCCAAGCCTTGCCTGTGCAAAGTCCCAGATATCTGCTGCACAGCCAGATCCTTCAGTTAAACCCTGTCTTCTTTAGAAACCCTGCTATTGTTTGAACTGCCCTTGTTTGTTCTGCAATTAAGGAATCTTATCACCCATATTTTATTGTGTCTGCCCTGACCCAGAACATCTGAAATGGCTTTTCCCTGGTGAGAAATTTCGTTCTGGCAGGGCGGCGCCCAAGGAGGCGGAACTGCCCGTGCCAGGTGGCCCAACCTGTGCTCACCCACACACCGACAGTGCCATGTCTGCTAAACTTCTGAAAAGGAGGGAAATAATCCTTCTCCTCCAATTGTCAGTAACTAAATATGTAGCATTGGCAGTGATAGCTTTGCTCTCTGCTAATCCTTCAAAACTGCTGTTAATTTAATTGCAGCCCAATCCGCTTTGTTCACTCCAGGCTCTTACCGGGAGGTCACAGTGCTCGTGGGGTCTGTACCCAAGCACTGTGGGCATCTCCAGAGCCAGGGAAGATACACTCAGAAGTGAGCTGGAGACTGACCTTTTTTTTTAAGTGATTTTTTTTTTCCCCCCCTTCTCGGGAGTGGAAACTGTCTGGAATGTGGTGTCTCTGCCAATCCACTCCTTTGCTGTATTTTGTAAATGGGCCCCAGAAAAATGTGCTTTAGTGAAGCAGGGTTGGCACAGAGCAGGGCAAAGGGGCAGCTTCTTCTCTCAGCTGTGGATCTTTAAGTATTTTTTGTGACAGTCTTTAACCCCTCTGCTCTCACAGTCCCTCAGTGAGGGAGGGAAGGGCTGCTGCTCCTGATTTAGAGAAGCAAGGGTCAAATGGCCCCTCTGAGGAAGAACATGGCAGTGGGAATTTGAGCTGTCTTTTCGAATATAGCAGCTGTTCTGCTGTGTGATGTTGCAACTCAGAAACACTGACCAGCTCTCTAGGGATTAATACCCTCTGACTGCCCACCATATGATGCTCAAGACAATGTGGCCCTCTTCAGATGTCTCCTACCACATCTCACACCCAAGTTATTTGCCCAATGCCCTGATGTGCACTCACATCCTTTCCTTACACACCCTGTCAGGAGACTCATCCTGGTCTTTTCTCCCTTTTTCTCACTGGTGCAGTTTAAGTAATGCCAGGGAAACTTGTCCTTCCCCTTCTGAATCTTGTTGTTGGGCTGCATTATTTATCAGTTCTGATTAAGAACTTTCCTGCCTCAGGTTGCTGCAATGTCATCTGCTCGGATAAGACGGGCACCCTGACTGCCAACGAGATGACAGTGACTCGGCTGCTGACCTCGGATGGCTTCCAGGCAGAGGTGGGCATGAGACAGTAATTCAGGTTTTCCTCCTAAATTCAGCAGGGCTCTTTTGCCTTTAGTTCCTTTAGACCCAAGTGAGGGAGGCTGGTCAGCCCCAAACCAAGCAGTTTGTTGCACACCAGCAGTTCCATTAAAAGAAGGGATTTTTGCAGCACTGGAGAGAGGCTGAGGGTAGAGAAACTGTTCAGATATCACAGAGGTGCTTATTGACATAAGCTGCTGTTCTCTGTAATTACTGTAAATGCTGAAACCTGCCACTAACCCTTGTTGGTCCATCTTCTGTAGGAAGACGTGGCTTAATCTCTCTGCTTGGTTCATTTACCTGTGTGAAAAATGCAGACACACAAAATGTACAGCAGAGGAGAGACAGGGTAGAGCTTGGACAAAACCAGATCCCACTGCTGCCAAAGGGCTGGATTTCTCACCTGAGAAATCTGGTGATTTCTGCAGGAGATTTCTGAAATCATAGAGAACAAATTCTGTATAAGACAAATTGACTTTCTGTTACTATACAGCTATTACATCATACTGTCACTGTCTGCAGCCTTTCCTATAAGCTTGAGACAGAAAAAAGAATCCCACAACTTCTTCCCACCTAGAACTTTGCAGAACAGTCCTGTCTGGCACAGGGAAATATGTTCTGTCTGTCTCTCCCTCCCTCAGGTCAGCGGGGTGGGCTACAATGGAGAAGGAAATGTTTATCTTCTGCCAACAAAGGAGATCCTTAAAGAATTTTCCAACGTCTCCATTGGGAAGTTAGTGGAGGTAAGTATAACTTTTGAACCAGCTTAGCCTTGTTAAATTCAGTTTTCAGTTGCACAAATCACTTTGGGTAATTAGTGTGAAACCAACAACAAACAAACAACTTTTGTAACTCCCAAATTAACTGTCCTGCTAAAACATTCTCATGGAAAGATGCTGAGTGTGATGTGGTACCTGAAGTTTATGGGTGAAAGACATGCAGGGAGAGACCAGAGTCATCAGCTTCAAGAGTCAAGGATATTTTGGATAAAAACACAATTCTGTCAGAGGAGAGACTGATTGATTTTACCATCTTCAGGTTTTAAGTGTGGACCGATTCTAGACTCCAGCCACATAGTCAATTTGTAAGTGTATTTTGATGACCTCTGCATTTTGTGTCAGCATTAAATAAAATTTTGAACATTCAGCTGTAGGCTAGAGTAAGTGTTTGGGTGCTGAAATGATCTGAGCTGGAATTAAAAAAACAAACCATGTAAACCTTTCTCTAGGCTGGCTGTGTGGTCAATAATGCCGTTATCAGGAAAAACAGTGTGATAGGACAACCCACAGAAGGAGCTCTCATTGCCCTGGCAATGAAGGTAAGGTCCTTAGAGTTTAAAATTTTCCAGAAATTTTAAAAATAAATAAATAAATAAAGAAACCTGGAATTGTTAGGTCTGGCAGCAGTGTTCAGACTGCCTTAAATTCCCCAGACCGCTTTCAGTCTTCCCTTGTCTCTTCTTCCCAAGGTCACACATGTACTCCTCTCCCGGTCAACCTTTTTGTCGTGGGCAAACAACCTTCCCTGAGCTTCTGCACTAACAGCAGTAATTGTTTTGTTTGGTTAATCATGCAGTTAGGCTGTGGAATGGATTTCTTTCAGGGTCAGACTGGACAGCCTTTTCTATATTTTCTTCACATGCCAACCTGGTCTAGTGGAAGGAGTCCCTGCCCATGGCAGAAGTTCAGGAGGAAGACAAGAGTGAAACATGAGCAAGGACAGGCCAGACTGGAAAGCATGGCAGAGGGTCACCCTCATCTTGAGTCCACTGACAGCTTTTACTTCTTTTCTAGTCATGGTTATATTAAAGAAGGGGTTTCTTTGGTGAATGTTGCATTCACGCTCATAGGCAGAGGCTGTAAAATACCTCAAGGTAATCACCTAATCAGCATAACACAGCCTGTGGCTTCAGAGCTCAGCTGGGCTCTAAAGCACAGAAGGTACCTGATGAAATGCTGCCACCTCCTAGCATCTGATCTTACCTCCTATTTTTAAAGCTCCTAACTATCTTTTTTTTTAAACAATATTTCACTTCCCTAAATGCTGAATTAAAACCTCCCTCCTGCTCTGGCATTCAGTGGCCAAGCAACAGCAGAATGCATGGAAGGTTGTCTCTTCCATTTCTCTTTTTAATTTTTCAGATTGGTGAATTGCTTTTTGAGTTCAAGTCATCAGGAAATAATTTGAAACCACAGCTACAATCTACCATTCAGTTCTTTGCAATTTCCCTTTTTCTTTCAAGTAGAGTCACTGGGAAATAACCAAAGTGGGGGGAGCCTGAGGGGGGCTGGAAGAAATTTGCCCAACCTTTTGCTTTGCTAAAGGTTTAGGGAATGAGCCTCCTTTGACCCAAAGCCCCAGCAAAAAGACAGAGCAGCTCCCTGATTCTTTCAAAAGTTGACAGGAATCAAGCTTTAAACTCCAGTTTAATTTATCCCACATGAGGTACCAAAAGGAAAAGAGGGGTTTGAAATATGATATTTTTTTTTCTTCTCTTTTCTCTTGAATTCTGTGGTATCTGAGAGCCTGGAAGGACATGGTCAACAGTCAACATTTGTAATATATATATATTTGTTTTACCTTACTTCAGATGGAATTAGCTGACATAAAAGACATTTATGTAAGAAAGAAGGAAATTCCATTTAGCTCTGAGCAGAAGTGGATGGCTGTGAAATGCACACTGAAAAATCAGGTAAAGCAAACAGTGGTGGTGGCTGGTTTCGTGTTTCTAATTGTGCACCTCAACAATGGGCATGAAATGGTATCTCTTCAGCAAATAATGTTTTCTGGAGTTAACTATGTCGGGAGAAAACTGAACAAACCTTCAAATTCCCAGCTTGGGTGTAATTTTACCTTGTAAAGTGTTGTTTGAATGGGAGGAGAGAATGCTTTCCATATACTGGTTTGAGCAGGAAAACAAAAGCTTTTCAGAGATAACTGACAGGCAAAGAGAGATACAGTGTTTGGGAGGGAAAGGTTTGCCCTTTATCCCTTACTGGGTCAAGGAGCTCATTTTTTGGCTGATACTGTACTGGTGAGGTTAAAAACTCACCAACCTTTTCATTAGAATTCTGTCTCTGATGGCTGAACATGAAAAATGGCCAGAACAAAAATATCCCATCCTATGCATAATGCAAGTTCCTGGGCATCTCACGCAACAGGTAAAAGAGGAAATAGAAGATCCTTTTTAAAAAAAGCAATGTGCTCTTTTTTTAATATAAAGTGTATTATCTCCTTGCTTTAAAGGACCAGGAAGATATTTACTTCATGAAAGGAGCATTTGAAGAGGTTATTCAATACTGCACTCTGTACAACAGTGGTGGCATCTCACTGTCACTCACCCCCCAGCAGAAAGCCTTCTACCAGCAGGAAGAGAAACGAATGGGCTCCTCAGGACTTCGAGGTCAGTCTTAAACTTATGGGTTATCATGTCCTGGTGGACAGAGGCTCAGTCATCACAGGTTCACAGCATGGTTTAGGTTGGAAGGGACCTTAAATCTCATCTCATTCCACCCCCTGCCATGGGCAGGGACACCTTCCACTAGCCCAGGTTGCTCCAAGCCCCATCCAACCTGGCCTTGGACACTTCCAGGGATGGGGCAGCCACAGCTTCTCTGGGCAACCTGTGCCAGGGCCTCACCACCCTCACAGGGAACAATCTCTTCCTAATATCCAATCTAAATTTCTTTCAGCTTAAATTCATTGGTTCTTAACATCACTTGCATGATCCCTTTGCAGCCCTTGTAAGAATTTGCCAAAGGCCATGTCTTAGGTCTGCTGGTTGATCTGTTTTTTTGCTGGGTTGAAATTAGTGAGCTTGAAAGGAACTAAAATAAGCACTGGAAAGGTGAATGTTTTTCTTCCATGGAGTGTTGTGATTGCACTGAAAAGCTTTGTGCTGGGCCCCATCTAAGCGCTGCTCTGCCAAGTTTTGCTTTTGGAGAAGCTGCCTCAAGAGCAACAAAAAGCCACTTTGAAAGGGCTTCCAAACGTGGATGTGGGTGCTGAGATTTTCATTTGAAGTTCATTTCAATTCTTCACTAGAACCAAATCTAACAATCTCCTTTTGATCCCGACTGCGTGTCAGTGCAGGGCCCGCAGAAGTTTTTGTACACGTATCATCTCCTTCAGCACCAGAAACATCCCTTCAGAAACATCTTAGACTTTCACCCAGTAACAAAGACACTGTTTCCTGTGCATGTTCCCAGGTTGTAAGTAGATGAGAACAAGTCTTGGCAGCCGGATCTGGAAGATGGTATAGTTAATGTACACATTCTCCAGCCCCGTGTCTTGTGGTTAGTAACTCGTGTACGGTGCTTGCTTTACAATATCCAAATCATCTGCCCTTGTGGTAACAGCAAATTACTGCTCTGAAGGGAAGTGATTAGCTCAGCCAGCTGCTGCAGCTTTTGATTCCATCATCAAAGCAACACTGACACGAACCCCTGGCAAAATATCCTCGAGTGATTTAATGATTGAATGATAGGGATACGCACCAGGAACAGAAACAAAATGTTCAGAGCCTTGATGTTTACATGATGGAAGTCTCGCTGGTTTAACTGAATTTACATTTCACATTTTTAGATTTTAAAAAAAAAAAAAAGTGTAAGTGCTATTGTTTAACTTAGCAGTTTAATAGTGTCTGGTCTAACATTGCACTGTCCCGATTTAATCCATCTGTGCTCGGGGAAGATGTGGTAGACAGCTTAAAATGAGAAGGAAATAAATCCTAAGAGAAACATGTCAAACAGAAATGCTCTGATTCAGATGAACTCTTATTTAAGTGGACTGAATTTTTGTGTCTATACAAGACCTGATTGTAATGACTAAAGATCTGGTTTTAATGACTTTTTCTGCTGGAAAACTGGCAATTTCACATCTCCTCTAAATGTTCCTTTTGATGTATGGAAACACATTATTAATAATTTACTCTTGTCATTTTCCCCCCTTCTGTTTCTAGTACTTGCTTTGGCTTCAGGTCCAGAACTTGGCAAACTAACATTTTTAGGTCTGGTTGGAATAATTGATCCCCCGAGGACTGGAGTGAGGGAAGCTGTTCAAGTCCTCTTTGAGTCTGGTGTGTCAGTAAAGATGATAACTGGAGATGCCCTGGAAACAGCTGTGGCTATAGGTACCAAACTTTGCTTCTTCCCTGGGGACCTATAGTATGTCTGTCAGATCAGTCAAATGTTACATCACTTAATAACCAACTTTATCATCTTTTTTGTGTGTGCAATAGAGATTTTGGAAGTCACTGAGCTCTTGCTTTTCCACTGAATCAAAATTTAAATGCAGTAATAGAACAGCTACTATGAGCCAAATTCCAGTGACTTAATTACACTATTTTAGCACCAGAAACGGCAAAATCTCAGTGTAAGACCCTCAAAAGACCCAGATGGCACTGCTGGGATTATAGAATCCACTAATGTTCAGTGTGAGTATCTCAGCTCTTCACAATTTTTTTCATTTTGCCACTAGAAAGGTGCAGAGCAAGTAGCAGAGTAGAGTGACAGATTTAGTACCAGCTCCAGTTCTGGGTACTATATTGCTTCCATAATTCCTATTGAGTTAGGACAGGACGACTGCCCAGTCCCAGAGCTGTGTGTCCTGTCAGGTGCCCCAGGTTCAGATATATTTCCCAATAAATTCTGTAATTGCTGCCTCTGTTCTCTGAGTCAGGAGATAGTTGGCTTTTTCCAGAGCTGCTGGGCGGATCTCATTTTAGGCTTTTTTTTTTTTTTTTTTTTTTCTCAGGACAGAATATTGGTCTCTGCAATGGGAAGCTGAAAACTATGTCTGGGGAAGAGCTGGACCAACTGGAAGAAGCAGAGTTGTCATCCACTGTCCAAAGTGTAATGGTTTTGATTATATAAACAAGACCTATTCCCAGTCGCTTCCACCCAATACAAGATTAATCATATTTTGTTTTCTGTTTTTTTCAGGTTTCTATTTTTTTCAGAACAAGTCCAAAGCACAAACTAAAAATAATAAAGGTACTAAAAGCCTCTCCAAACCTTTGTATGCCTCACAAAAACGAGGGGGAGGGGGAGCCTCAGTTCTCTAGATGACCTGACAGGATCAGCTTAAACTAAAGGACTGTCAAACCTCAGCTAGAGCACTGGCACTATTTACACTGAGGGTTTTAGATATGGAGTGGAACTCAATGATCCTTGGGGGTCCTTTCCAACTCAGGATATTCTATGATTCTGTGATTTCTCTTGCAAATGTGGCTTGGCCATTTGAAAGACACTACTGAGCTATTAGCAGGCATAATATCAGGAGAATGATCTCTGAGGACTCGAATCCCCTCTTCTAACTCCTGCTGGAGTTATGAGATGCTCTATAGTTCCAAAAATCCAGTGTCTTAATTCTTGGTCTGAGTTTTGTCCTCGGTGGCTGCTGAGCCTGGTTTACCCTCAGAGTCACAGCACTTTTGCTCTCTGGATGTTACTTGCAAACCCTGTGATTGCCTACAGGACTTATCTTCTGGCTACAGAGCCTGTCACCTCTCCTCTCCCCCAGGCTTTGCAGAGGGCTGGTGCTGTGGTGTCCATGACAGGAGACGGTGTCAACGATGCCGTGGCCCTCAAATCCGCGGACATCGGGATCGCGATGGGACAAGCCGGCACAGACGTGAGCAAAGAGGCTGCCAACATGATCCTGGTGGATGATGACTTCTCCAAAGTAATGTAGGTTTAGCCTCTTTCGTACCAGCAGGCACTTTCTTACTCCAGAAACTTCCTGGCTATCCACTGCAGCAAGTTGGTTGTGTAACTAGCCCTGGGAGCAAGGCAAGACGCGGGACATGTGAGTGGAGATACCCAGTGTGGGTCCGGCTCATTTTCAGTCGCACAGCACAGCAATTTGATTCAAGTGACAAAGTCCCCTTTCACCTGAAAGCTCTGGTTTCTCATTGCTGCAGCTAACTGGGGGTCTGAGAGCACCTAGAAGTCTGGGTAGATTACAGCTTTGTTGGCCAAAAGTTGGGCTCAACAATCTCAGAGTTCTTTTCCAACCTTCATGATTCTGTGATTCTCACTTGCTCACTTCCTCATCCAGGAAGCTCAGAGGAAAAACATACTTTGCAATGCTCTGTTGGTTCTTAACAACAGAGAGAGTGGGCAGGGTCCCATGAGGATATAAATAGGTCCTAGGACTGCTTCATGAACCAAAACCTGGCCATGTGACCCATGTTTTCAGATCTTCTAGTTCTGATAAAGTAATTGTAGGTGAGAAGCTGCATTGACAACCTCATCCTTAGCTGTGCTCTGAATTTCAACTGAAATGAGGGATAGAGGAGACAACTCATGTTTGGAGTGTCACAGGGAGCTCAGTGTAAAACAGTGTGAGTGCTCTTTACCTAATAAACTCTCCTCTCCCTTCCAGGAATGCAATAGAAGAGGGAAAGGGAATATTTTACAACATAAAGAATTTTGTCCGGTTCCAGCTGAGCACGTAAGTTCCTGTTTGCTTCACTTCCAGTGAAAGCACCTTCGAGAAGAGTCCCTGCAGAACAATGTTCTTCTGTGCTTTGCAGGAGTATCTCAGCTTTGAGCCTTGTCACTCTGTCAACAGTGCTCAACCTACCAAATCCACTCAATGCTATGCAGATCTTATGGATCAACATCATCATGGATGGGCCGCCAGCCCAGAGGTATGGAAGAGTCACATGAGCAAAATATTCTTGGCTTTGATTGCTTGTCAATGCACCACTTATTTGTTGGTTAGATAAGACAAATTGTGGTTTTGTTCCCTCCTGGTCTCTTCAAAAGTGTTTATTTCACATTTATGTGTTGCTGTTTCATGGTAGAATCACTTAACTGTGCCATTTTTTGGCTAGGAGTGGTCTGTTATCCTGAGAACAGCACCTGCTCATAGACTGGCAAGGGAATATTGAGTACATGTGGGGGTGTATGCCCCAAAATCACAACACTTAGGAACCTCATCCAACTGCTAATTACAACTACAACCAATTAGAACTACTGTTTCCACAGCATGGAAGGGATGTTGGCCACACTCTCACAGCTCCTCTGGCAGAGGGAGATGATATGATGGTCTCATGGTGTCATTTTAGCAGCTCCACATGCAAAAAAAGACCTTTGGTGTTGGTGTCGCAGACAAATTTGGGGCCCTATGTCACCCTGCCAGAATACTCACGCTGCATTCCAAAGAACTGCCTCCTCCAGCTCCATCCTGGTGTATCAGCAGTACCATTTTGGGATGCCCTGCATTAACTAAACACATCCCTCTGCTTCTCTTGGAGGCAGCTTGGGAGTTGAACCTGTTGACAGGGACACCATCAAACAGCCCCCCCGGTGTGTCACAGACACCATACTCAGCAAATCACTGATCCTGAAAATCTTCATGTCAGCTCTCATTATCATCAGTGGAACCCTCTTTGTCTTCTGGAAGGAGGTGAGGAAAATCTGCAATCGGATCTTGTTTTCATCAGGGTGGAGAATGAAGGGAAGAGCAGTTTCTCAAGGGCATGCAAAGGACTTTCAGGAATGCATCCTGTGGGGAAGGATCAGTGCAGGCAGAGGGTTAAGATACCAGGGTCAGCTCATAGCTCTGCTTCTGCCTTCCTGTGTTGCCTCTAATTTGGAGCTTCCCAACTACAATAGGAAGACTCTTATTTGAAGTGGTATCAATGTTTTAAGGGATTGTCCACTTCTACCTTTCCATGTAGGTAAAAAATGCCAAGCGCTATGGATTGCTGTTGGTAAATAGCAATTGTTACTTTAACAGTTTAGGTAATTTAATTTAGAATGTCCTTTACTCAATTCCACATCAGTTTAAGAATTATGATGGTTGATAAGATCATAACCTCAAAAATTAGTAGAGAGAAATTAATGCTACCTATAATAGCAAGAACTTGATTTACTCCTTTGTTTTATTACCCTTTGATATGACTGGGATCATTAAAGGGAACATTTAATTCACCTATTGAATTGCCATATTTTTGTAACGCTGAACTAAGCCCTGAATTTTAAATGTACTTCCAGAATCCAAAAAGTGGCATAACTCCTCGAACCACAACGATGACTTTTACCTGCTTTGTGTTTTTTGACCTCTTCAATGCCCTGACGTGTCGCTCTCAGGTGAGATCGCTCTGTCAGCAATGATTTCTTGTCTCAAATCACAAACATAAACATTAGAGTACCAGCACTTTGTATAGTAAGGTGTTTTTTTTAATGTCATTTAAAGCACTATGATTTTTATTAACTTTTTATATAAAAAATTTATTCAGCGCAGCTCAACTGCAACTACTTTCAACTATGTAACTCTAAGTTAGTGTTTATATTTCAAAAAGGGAGTTTGCATGTAAAGAAACACTGTGACATTATGTTCCAACAGAGATTGGGTAAAGTTACATTTCTCTTCTCCCCCCCTACTTCTCTAGACAAAGTTGATCCTTGAAATCGGCTTTTTTCGGAACCGCATGTTCCTCTATTCCGTGCTTGGATCATTTTTGGGGCAGCTGGCTGTTATATACATCCCTCCACTCCAAAAGATCTTCCAGACAGAGAATTTAGGAGTGTTAGGTAAGTTGCAAAATAAATAATGGTTTGTTTTTTCTTTCATTTAAGGTACTTTAAAAAGCAGATGCCATTCCCAGTTTGTTTCGTGTTACCTCCCAACATATCCCTGGTAGGGAAATCAATCAACAGCTCCTATACCTTTATATTTACACATAACTATACACAAATAGTAGTAGTATTTAATGATATTATCCCAACCTAGGTTTTGAATTTTGATTTACTGCACATAATTGCATGTACATGGAGACATGCCAAGATCTTCCATGAGTTCTGATCTTTCTGTCCATAAATCTATCTCGGATTCTTGTGTACTCCCTTCAGAATGAGGGGGGTGACTGCTTCCCAGCTGAAATGCAATGCAGGTTTTACCACTTGGATCAGCAAACTCCACCCTACCACAGTGTTGCATCCACATCAGGCCTGTTGTCATGAGCAGTGGTCAATGATCCCAGATTATTAATGTAGAGGTTTTCACCCTCTGAGTGGACCCAGCTATGGATCCCTGGTGCACCACAGTGGGTTCCCTAATTCTCCAGCTGGCAAAGGCATAGCAAGGCCACGCACCAAGCGTTACACCAGCACAAATGCCAGCTGCAGGAAGGCCCTGCCCTGGCATTCTTGCCCAGCTGAGCTCCCCTGCACTCTGTTTCCTCCCCTAGACCTGCTGTTCCTCACCGGACTGGCTTCCTCAGTGTTCGTCGTGTCCGAGCTCGTCAAACTGTGTGAAAAGCGCTGCTGCCGCCCGGGGCGCACAAAGGGGCGTCACAACTGACTCAGACCTGCTCTAAAACACGCCTGGAACAGAGCTGTGATGATGGGTAATCCAAATGCACCTCTCTCTGATGCCACACATCCTTCCTGAAGATACCCACGTGCAATCTGTACCAACAGAGGCTCCTCCACATGCTCCACTGGAGCTGTTCTACTGAAACCTCTGCAGCAGCTCCTGTTTCAAACCAAGAGCAGGTATATTTTTATAACATATGTTACGAAGGCTGTGATAGTCCCAGACAAAATAAGAGTTTCACACCTGTACAGAAAAATATATTGTGCATAAACTGAAATTTTATTTATTTAAATCAGCCATTTTTATTAATAAAAATCTACATTTTTAAATGTTATTGACAAGTATCTGTGTGAGACTTGATTTAGACCCGTCATTTTACATTAAATTAGAAGACTGGAAAAGACCTGCCTTCATTAGCACTTCTTTTCCTGTAGTCAGTCTGTAGTGTTTCTAGACTGCCAGATATCCAGCCTTGATTGAGCAAGCCTTTCAAAGAAACTGTGGGGAGATGTCAGAGCAGAGAGCTGAAGTGCCAACCCTCAGCTGTCACTTTTGCAGCTGTGTGACTAAGAGGAGCAAACTGGAAGGGTGATGTGATCCAAAACACACTGCAGTGCGTGGATTTAATGGGGAAGGGAATTGCTTTCACAAGCATCTGAGAATAAGGATGAGTCACATACAGAGCAGGGATGTCGAGCTTTGCAGTTGGATCAAGAGGTGCACAAAAGGGACTGAAATGTTTAGATCACAGCCAAGCCCACTGCTGACAAATGCTTTCTGGATGTTTTAGGTGCATGAGCAGGAAGCCCAGAGTGCTTAAAAAAACCACAACTGTTGAGTCTCTCCCAAACCCATCTTTTACATTTAAAGAACAATTTTGAACAATCCCACCTGCTGGTTGGATCAGTACTGTCCTAGCAAATAATGCTTCACTGTGACATTTGCTAAAGTGCCATAATGTTCGTTTTCTTCTTGCCCCAGCTTAATACCTTCACTTCAAAGTGAAGATGAAGAGTCTCAGACACAAACTTGTCAAAAAAACCTACACTTTCAGAGGTCACAATGCTATGCTGATAGTCACAACGTAATGTTTTAACAGGATTACATTTTGGATTCATAGTCTAAAACAAAACAGCTATCCTGATACTTATTATAAATCAAAGACAACTTGGCCACTGAAATCCTTATGGTGAAGAGTAGTTTTGTGCAACTCACCCTCCCCAGACACAGTCTGCTCAACCTTTTTTTTTTTAACTCTTGCAAACAGTTTCAGTTCTCAAAGACCAGTCTCTGCCTTCTAATGGAAGGAAAATAAAGTCTAGCTGTTTATTTTACGTGTAACTGCAGAAATTCAGCTGCCTCACTCCTGTATGCCATCCACTTGGAGTACTCAGTGCCTAAGTGGAAAAGAACCTTTGAGACTTATGGTGGGGGTTTGAGAATGTTCAAACAAAAGCTGGTACCACCACACCTACAGAGAGCCTCATGTGCTGACTTGCTGTCTATACAGCACTCCCTCCATTGTACTATTTGACATTCTTATTAATATATACAGAGCAGATAATTATACAAAATTATCAGTGCAATTGTTTTGCTGCTTACATTTTTTTCTCTGTGTTACAAATTTGGGAGACTTGCAGGTTTATTTAAGCAAATACAGGGTAAAAGGACACTAGTTCAGGCCTTTCCCAGCACACACTGTACTGGAGCAAACAGCATATATGCCCCAGTCATTAGTTCAGGTAGTGCACAAAATGCACAGTTGAGTTCTAGGATGTCTGGCTGGAGTGATTTCTTCATGCTCTCCTTTCAAGGCTAAGTTCACTTTGCTTAACAAAATCTAAAAGAATGGGACTTACATTAAGGCACAAGTGCAGATTATTCAGAATATTCAAATCTGGCTCCCTATGAAAAACAGGCAGGGGGAAAAAAAAAGACCACACACAAAAAAACACTAAGGGAAAGAATTTGAAGGAAGGCCACATGACCAGGAATTGCAGAATTCTGGTACGTTTTTCACTCTAAGCTGCCCAGAAGACAAAGTCATCACAGGACAAAGAGGATTGGATACAGTCCTTTTCCTCAGGAGGAGAAAGGCTGACAGTCATAGACACCAATAACCAAACTCTATTTGCTGAGCTAGAAATTACACTCTCTGGTAGAAATTAGCGTTATTTTTGACAAGTTAAATACACATAGAATTAGCAAGGTCAAACTAATTACTCACAGATGGGAACAAATTCAAGTAGAAAAAGCCCTGAGTACAGGAGACCTGACAAAACTGGTGCTGACTGGTGAACAGTCACAAAACACAGCAAAAACCCCCAACCAACTGCAATTCACATTGCAGGCATTTTTTTCCATAATGCAGTAATGATTAATTATGTGGAAATAAAGTCTACAGCAATCTTCTTTAAACATTTTACATAACCCTGATTTTTATTTCTTTTACAAGGTATCTGCAGATGCCATTCCCAATTAACTGGCTTCCTTTTTACAGCCTGATCTTTTAGTCCAGTCTCAAGTGAGGCTACTAAAGAATTTACCTTCCCTGGAGAATTTCTGCTGAACATATGACCCATTTTTAAGAAAAAATACAGCTGAATGATTCCAATGGTTCTGTTTTACTAAGTTTAAAAATAAATTTCTGCAGAAACAGCTGAAGTGAGATGCACTGAACTATAGTGCAGTATTATAAAACTTGTTGCTGCATATGAGTATTCTGGACATCTTACAGCCCATATGGAGTCACTTGCTAAAAAACTGACTGAGAAAACGTGACATTTAATGCTTTAACTGAAGCAATGCAAATTAATAGCACCCTTCATATGGAATCATGTGGACTATTCTCTGTTTACCAATGTAAGACATCATTAGAATTTGAAAGCTTCACTGACTAATTTCATTGCATGCAAATAAATATGTGCAGTTGAGGTAAAGAGCCTTAATCAGTGTCTTGGACAGTCTTTTATATATATATATAATATATATATATAAAATATGTACATATTAATTCTCCAAGTCAGTAAACCTTACTGTCAATAACTTCTGCTTTTAATTTAGTTTGCAGACATGATCTACGGGGAATGCAAGCAAATTCATATTCAGCTGGGACTCAGACATCTCTAATGATTGTGTCTCCAGTTATTTTTTCTGTCCTCCCCAAACAAAACCCTTCAGGCAGAAAATTGCATTAGATCTAAATATTACATAAGTACAAGGCTTAAGCTTTGTCCCAGATAATCAGCTTAAATTTAAGGGGAAAAAAAGAAAAGAGGAAAAATATCCTGTCCAAGGAACATTAACACTTGGAAGCAAATAAAAATAAAGGGGTTTTCATGTTACTGTGATTCCTTTAGTTCTCATCCTCCTCATCCTCTTCAAGGGGTTCCCGGAGACCTTCGCTGTGACGACCTTTTCCAGCCATTTCCAATAGGGCCTGAGCCTGAGGATCCACGTCCAGGATACTCTTCTTACCTTTGGTCTGCAAAAGAAAAGAGAATATAGTCAATTTAAAAGGCCAATATCAGGCTACTGAAAAGAGAGACACTCAAAAGTCCATAAGTGATCTGGTTTGCAAGCTTGGCACAACAGAGAGGACACACTTTCCAAGTAAGGCATTTAAGATTCACTGGGATACATCATGTTATTTTTATAGCTGCAGTTACACAAAATAGCCATAAACTTCTCCTAAGGTGACAGCGAACTATTTCAAGTTTATTCAGGTTACAAGCCAACCAGAACATCCTGGTTAACCTCACCTCAGTCTGAAGTGCAGAAGTGAGGGTTGTTTTAAAGAAGAGATTCAATTACAATTTGACATTTTCTGTAAACAGTTTGTTCTGTTTCTATTTAGAGCTCTGTGTCCAGTGAAGTCAAGGCACATGAATTTAGTATGAAAAGAAGTAGAAATTTGAAAAAAAAAAAAACCCAACACCAAACTGTACAGACCAGACAGTTTAATATGAGAATAAATTAAAGGGACAGAAGAGACTGGAAAAAGGGCTCCTGCTCATTCCCAGAAATAAACTGAGTGCAGAAAGACTGGCACCAATCTAATAACATAAACTTATTGTAAAACAACAGTAAATTTAAAGCTGCTGATAAAGAAATCTTTTGGGTCTGTTCCTGAACTACAGATTGGGCTTTACTTGAGAGTTTCCAGTGCTTGCTTTCTGGCTTATAAACACTGGGTTTTACTGAACCACTCCAAGGAGGTTCCTCCTGGAGACCATTCCTCAATATTGGAAACACCTTTGGAAATTCAGAATAAAGTACTGCTCTTCTGACTCTATCACTTCTTGGCTCCTGAAATTATTTCTTGTTGGCAACCTCCATAATTTCACTACTATTTTGCTATTTGCCTGCTACAAAATACATGGCACCACAGGGCCAGTTAGAGAAAATATTATTAATTACAACAGAGACAGGAGTTCAATGAGAAAACTGCAACTGTGAGTTTTGCATGTTCTGTTCCAACCAGGACACCATTTCACAGGTTCACCTACCACGCTTTCAGGGACATCTCCCACTGCCCAGACTTCCATGGCATCCAGGGTGAAATCCTCTTTGGCTGACAGCTGGGGGCTGTTGTAGGTGGTACATCGAGGTTTGGCTTTACTGTGGCCCTTCCCATAGTCACTGTCTATCCAGAGCCCGAAGTATCCATGTTGTCCACCCATACCCTGTCAAGCAAAGCAGCACATTAAACACTTGATGCACAGGTAGAACAGACTGGGAAAGTCACGAGGCCTAAGAGAATAAATTGCTGTGCTCAGTGTTTGTGCCACGCTTCTATGGGTACGTTAAAAAAAAAAAAAAAGGGATTCTGAGTGAACCTGGGCTTCTGTACTCACATCTTGAATTCCTGAAGACAAACAAGAATTTACTTGAGTGATACTGCCCTCCTTCTGCAATTCACCAGAATATCTGTGAGTTGTACCAGAAACTTAGCTCCTGGTTTTTATTTATTGATTAACAGTCCCATTTCAAACAGGGTGACACTGCCCTGGTTTGCTGCCCGTTTCCATTTAGAAAGGTATCTACAGAAAGAAATAATGTAACTTGATGTTGTTCACTGTCTTTGGAGCAAATTTACTCAAACCTGCTGCAATACCCAAAATTATGGGCACATAATTCTGCAAAACTGCAAAGCAGTCTCAAAACAGGTGGTGTGTTGTAGCGCTGTGGAAACTCCTCTGCATCTGGAGAGCTCATTTGTGAATTTGAGTAAGAGAAGCTTCTGCCACTGCAATCACCCAGCAGCAGCAGCTACTTGCAGTGTTTGCACTT